GTATTCGACGTACCGGCTCGTTCCGCCTCGGCGGCCAAGCTGCTCATGACCATGCATCAGGGTTCACGGACCGTGGCCGAGTACGCCATAGAGTTTCGTACCCTGGCGGCAGAGGTCGGTTGGAACAATGAGGCTCTGGTGGCTGCGTTTTCCCATGGTCTTTCTGACACACTGAAGGACGAGATTGCAGCTAAGGAACTGCCTGTGGTGTTGGAGGAGCTCATCTCTTTCCTGATCCTGATTGACACCAGGTTCAGGGAGAGGCCTTCACTCAAGGAACGCCTGCGGAGGCCTTCCAATCGACTGGCACCTGCGTTTTCTGTCCCACCCGTTCCTCCCTCTCCTCCCACGCCTCCTGGGGATAGATTGTCTGGTGGTGAGCCCATGCAGCTGGGGTTTGCTCGCCTTTCCGAGGGAGAGCGGGCCGCTCGGCGTCGGGAGGGTCGCTGCCTGTACTGTGGTCTTGGTGGGCACTTTCGGCAGTCCTGTCCGGTCCGTCCGGGAAACGCTCGCACCTGAGATCCTGTCGGGGACGGATCTTGGGTGGAGTCTCCTCGTCCCCGGCGTTCCGCAGAGATAAGCCACTGATCACCGTTGTCCTCTCTTGGGGCGGAGGGCTCGGTGACGGCCCAGGCGTTGGTAGATTCTGGGGCCGGCGGGTTGTTTATGGACAGCTCGTTTGCTGCCCAGCACTCCATTCCCCTGCAGGCTCGAGTTACCCCATTGGTTCTCGAGGCGATAGATGGCAGGCCCCTGCAACCACCGCAGGTTACCCACGAGACTGTGCCAGTGGAAGTAGCTATTGGGGCTGTTCACAGGGAGTTGGCCTGTTTCCAGGTGATTTCTTCTCCGCACTATTCGGTGGTTTTGGGGTATCCCTGGCTCCAGATGCACAATCCAACCTTCAATTGGCAAACAGCCGAGATTCTCTCGTGGTCTCCACAGTGTGGGGCCGGGTGCATCCGTGGGCCGGTTAAGGTGTTGTGTGCCTCCTCGGACTCTGCGTTGCCCTCTGATTATGGGGAGTACCAGGACGTGTTTGATAAGGTACGCGCTGGTGCCTTACCTGCTCATCGTCCTTACGACTGCGCCATATCCTTGCAACCCGGTGCCACTCCTCCGCGTGGCAGGGTGTATCCTCTCTCGGTTGCGGAGAATAAGGCCATGGAGGAGTACGTTGCGGATGCGCTTTCCCGGGGGCACATTCGTAAGTGTACTTCCCCAGCAGGAGCGGGCTTTTTTTTTTAAGAAGAAGGGTGGTGAATTGAGGCCTTGCATCGATTATAGGGGTCTTAATCGAATCACCACTAAGAATGCCTACCCGATTCCCTTGATTACTGAGTTGTTCGACCGCCTTAAGGGGGCAACAGTCTTTACCAAACTTGACCTTAGGGCGGCGTACAACCTCGTACGGATCAAACAGGGGGATGAGTGGAAGACCGCGTTTAACACCAGAACAGGTCACTACGAATACCTGGTGATGCCCTTCGGATTGTGTAACGCGCCCGCAGTTTTTCAGGAATTCATAAATGATGTCCTTCGTGACTTGTTGCAGCAGTGCGTGGTAGTTTACTTGGATGACATCCTGGTTTACTCTGCCTCCATGGAGTCCCATATCCAGGATGTCAAGCAGGTGCTGCAACGATTACGTGAGAACGAACTTTTTTGTAAACTTGAGAAGTGCGAATTCCATCGATCCCAAGTTGCCTTTTTAGGCTACATCATTTCTGCGGAGGGATTCTCCATGGACCCTCAGAAGGTTTCGGCGGTTCTGCAGTGGCCTCGTCCCAATGGTCTTCGGCCCATTCAGCGCTTTTTGGGTTTTGCCAACTACTATCGGAAGTTCATCCGGAACTTCTCCACGTTGGCAAAGCCTTTCTCAGACCTAACCAAGAAGGGCAGTAATCTTCACGAGTGGCCACCCGAGGCCATCGTAGCGTTCGAGGCTCTGAAATCCGCCTTCGCGTCGGCTCCGATACTGTCTCATCCCAATCCAAGAATGTCAGGGCTGATGCGTTATCACGGCAATACTCTGAGTTGTCCAGGGAAGACTCTGAGCCAATCTCAGTTATTCCTCCAGATCAGATCCTGGCTGCCATTCGCACCAGTCTGACCTCTCCTCTTGGGGAGCAGATTTTGGCGGCTCAATCTGATGCTCCCCCGGGAAGCCGGAGGGTAGATGTTTTTGTACCCGAGGGATTGTGCACCCGCCTGCTGCGTACCTACCATAACACCAAAACTGCCGGGCATCCGGGGAAGAACCAGCTGTGTTGGGTCGTCTCTCGCTTATTCTGGTGGCCAACCCTCCGTGCCGACATTGCCTCTTATGTAGCGGCATGTTCGATCTGTGCCCAGAATAAGTCTCCACGGCATCTCCCTTTGGGTCTTCTGCAACCCATTTCCCAATGGGGAGCGTCCTTGGTCACACCTAGGTATGGACTTTATTGTAGACCTCCCGGTGTCTCGGGGTCATACGGTCATCCTCATGATCGTCGATCGGTTTTCCAAGATGTGCCATTGCATTCCACTCAGGAAATTACCAACAGCGCAAGAACTGGCCACGGTCTTTTCCAGGGAGATTTTTCGCCTGCATGGGTTGCCTAAGGTGATTGTCTCGGACCGCGGGAGTCAGTTCGTGTCCAGATTCTGGCGCGCCTTCTGCTCCCAGTTGGGTATTAGTCTCTCCTTTTCCTCAGCCTACCACCCGCAGTCCAATGGGGCTGCGGAGTGTTCCAATCAGGCCTTAGAACAATTCCTTCGGTGTTATATTTCAGACCATCAGGACGATTGGGCCGATCTCCTGCCTTGGGCAGAGTTTGCCAGGAACTCGGCGGTCAACTCCTCCTCCGGGATGTCGCCCTTCATGGCCAACTATGGGTTCCAACCCGCGATATTACCTGAGAGGTTCTCACCACAAGACATTCTGGCTGTGGAGAACCATCTTGCTGCCCTGCGTTCTTCATGGGGGCAGATCCAGAGGGCCTTGAGGGACTCAGCTCAGCGCCAGAAGTTACAGGCTGATCGCAGACGGTTGCCCGCTCCTTCATACCAGGTCGGTGATCGGGTGTGGTTGTCTACTCGCAACCTCAATCTTCGGGTGCCCACACCCAAACTAGCTCCCCGTTTTGTCGGTCCTTTCCGCATTCTCCGCAAAGTGAATCCGGTGGCCTATGCCCTTGCCCTTCCGTCTGGGATGCGGATCTCCAATATCTTTCATGTTTCCCTGTTGAAACCTCTGATCTGCAATCGCTTCACTACCTCTCTGCCTCGGCCCCGTCCTGTCCGGGTTGACGGTCATGAGGAGTATGAAGTGAGCCGGGTCCTGGACTCTCGATTGGTGCGCGGTCGATTACAGTTCCTGGTTCATTGGCGCGGTTATGGTCCTGAGGAGCGTTCCTGGGATCCTTCCGCGGATGTCCATGCTCCTGCCCTCCTCCGCGCTTTTCATACCCGCTTTCCTCAGAAACCTTTTGTTGAGCCGCGGAGGGGGAGGGGCCCTTGAGGAGGAGGTACTGTCAAGGTCCTACCTTTTCCCTGAGGTTATGTTAATCCATGTGCTGGCGTCCATCTTGGATTCTGCTGTGCATGGTGGGAATCCTTTTATGCCTTCAGGTCTCTGAGGTCCACCCCCAGAGGGGCGTGGCTGAGGACATATAAGCCTGTGGCCCGCACATGCTCTTTGCACTTGTGTCTTTGTGTTACTATTACTCTGTTCTGACTCTCGTGACTCTCCTGGTATTCTGATTCGGCTTGTGACTTGACTATTCTTTGTATTCTCCTTTGATCTGACCCTCTGTTGCTGAACCCGGCTCGTGACCTGTGATTCTCGTCTGCTGTCCTGTACTGTTTTGTCCTGTTGTTGTTGACCCGGCCTGTCTGACTACTCTTTTGTCTCTTCCACCAGCTACACGCCATTGGTGGCGGCCATTACCGCAGCTGAGGTGTCTCGGGGGCCGCGACCTGGTTCCTGGCTGCGTCAAGTCCATCCCCACCATCAGGGGCCCTGGTGAAGGGCAGCCTGGGACTTAGACTCCGCGCCCTGAGGGACTTCGGTCTGTGGGTGGTGGTTGTCGTCAGCCAGTGCGTTACATTGTTAGGCCTGCCTGTCCTTTCCTCGGCTCCTGCCCTGACAAATCCCCCATAATACTGCCATTTTCTTCTTCAGCATTAAAGTTGGGGAAGAGGCCTTTGTTCTTCAATAACAAGGACAAGGGTACTTTCCAAGGAAGGAAGGTTTTCCATTGCCCTTTTGCAAGGTACCCCCCAGTCTTGAAAGGCATATGGTCTGGTCTGGTACAGGAAGGGAGGCCCCACACTCGCTGCCCTCCTGTAATAGCAACTTTGGGAATTCCAGGAAAACTGCGGACATGAACTTGAGGAAAACAAGCTTTTTATTTACCAGCTGGGACTTAGCCAGACTCGTGACTGCAAGCTAAGTGAGTTGAAAAGAACCTTACATGGTGTGTATATAACAAGAATTACGTCACAATGCATATATTTCCTCTTTAATTTTTGTACTTTTAAAATACATTCTGAGCAGTTCAGGATATAGCCTTTGCGGTTTCATATTTAGATAAAATATCTCCAACTGAAAGGGTGTCAACTGCTAGACTGTTCCACAGAAATGAGGGGGAGGAAGTGAGCTGATGACCTGGTTTTGCAAACCGATGCTTTTAGAAATGTTAAAGCTTAAAGGGTAAACTCTGCAATATTTGGGTGCTGCCACATTCCCTTTCCTTGCCACCCAGGCTACATGTCTGGATAAAGGTCTGGGTGGAATTGTATGTTGAACACAATGCTGTTTTTTCTCTTTCTTTTTTAATTTCAACATTCAAGCTGAAGCAAATAAGATTAAGGAGTGAATGTACATAAGTCTAGTATGCCTTTTCTACATGGTTGCTGATACAGCCCATAAAAATTGTATAGTACACCATGTCCAGCTTCAAGGCATTACAAAATAAGAAAAAGAAAGGGACTCACAAGCCTTGTGCATTGCCTTGATACAAAATTTCAGTAATAAAATATAACATGACAACCATACAACCATATCATGACCAACAGTGGCCCGTGATATGGAGTACTGCGTGAGTCCCACATGCAAGGGGACACTGAAAAACTGGCTGGCGCATTTCCAGGGGGGGTCCCCTCTTCCTCAATGTTGCATAGTCTACCCCTACAGCTCCAAGGTATCCCCCAAGCACGTTGTTTAAATATTTGTGTTTTGATGTTGCACTCTAAACTGTTGAAAAGACACTCTTTTGCATTTGTACATTGTTTTTATGGCAGTGCCCAGCTAACCTTGTCCCTTTTTGGCAATAGTTTGCCTATTAGCTTTGAAAATGGCCAGGGAAAATCTACAAGATTCACTTTCAAGTGACCTCCATGGGGTTTGTTTAGGTTTTGCAAACTTTAAACAGGATTTAACAAATCCCAGGAGAACCGAACCCGGGCAGATTCGCTCATGGGATGACACTCTTGGACCTCTCCGGTGTCCTCTCCATTATATGTTTTTGTGGACTGGGAGTAATGGTGGAAGAGGGCATCAGCTGCTGTTAAATGGGGATTTTAGCATCAGGGAATAGATAGCTAGGGAGATACCCCATCAAAATTTTGCTATGAAGCTCAGTGATTTATAGCCATACCACTAGGGATGAAAGATGTCAGTCACTTTAGTTGAAGGCTATGTTGATGTTTTTTTTGTCCTTCTAGACTGTTCACTAAACTTCAATTTTGGTGTTTTGTTGGCTGTCATGAGAACCTTATCTAACTGTTTTGTGGCTGATACATGGCATACTTCTTGGCATCTAGTGGTTTTGTGGCTGCATTTTCTTTGCTTTCTAGTATTTTATTTGACTGTGCTCTTCCTGTTTTGTATATTTTTTATTCTATTTGGATTATATCTGTGATCAGCAACTTGAGAAAGAGCCCAGAGAGGCTCAAAGCAGCCCGTTACAGAGCTTTTTTTGTACTGCTGGATTTTAAAATGATTGAATAAAAAAGTTTTTATTTATTAAATTTTTAAATTTTATTTTTATTTTTTTTTTTTTTTTTTAATTTTTTTTTTTTTTATTTTTATTATTTTTTTTATTTTTTTTTATTTTAAAAAAAAATATTTTTATTTTTTTTTAAATTTTTTTATTTTTTTTTTATTTTTTTTTTATTTATTAAAATTTTCTATTTTATACTGGAGATTAAATCTTGTGTGCAGATGACGTATGTTGCAGATGAGTATGTTGCTAATTGGATAACTCCTGGATTGTCAAAAGGATTGATCATTGTTATACAGGGTACGTACTGTACAGAGGAGTAACTAGAACTTTTAGTCTGGGTAAACATATATGCGGTGCAGTACATCACATGTGATTCGCACAGGAACCGCACCGCATTCCTGTGTAAATCACATGCGATTTGTGTGCGGTGCGATTGGAGCTATACACACCAAAAGGGCAAGACCCTATTTTGGGTCCGCACTAGAATTGTATCGCATGGTTATTCACACCTATGTGATCCGATTCTGCACATCACACCGCGTTTTGCAGACCGCTTTCGGGGTGTTGTTAACTTAACATACACACCCGCAGTGGTTTACATGAACGGGATGCAATTCTGATGCGGTTTGGAATTTGCACTGAAAACATTGCAAATTCTACACATCAGTGTGAACTAGGGCTTAGGGTCCCGGTGCAAGAAACCCTCCTGACCCAGGGCCCTTCCCACTGATTCTGGGGTGCTTTACTCTCACTGCAGGGCTCTTTATTATGGTCCTGCAGCAGGACCCTTTCACATGTTATGCAGCGGGTCCCCTTTCTGTATTCTTGGCACCTTACCATGGTGGCGGATTGCCAGGAACTGGTCGTAAGGTGACCTTTCCAAGTCTGTAGCCGCCACTACCTCAGGTCCTAATTTGACAGGGCGTGTGGGTGCAGGTGTACGGCCCCAAACACAGACAGCATGGATTCAGGGCCACTCACCCACACCTTCACACCTGTCAAATTAGGACCTGGGGCTGTGTTTGTACAACCACTACATCCCCATAGACTAACAGGCAGCTCCAGCTGCACAAAACTGTTCATTCATGGGCAGTAAAAAGCATGCAAATGAGCCCTTATTTTTTACATTTTACATTTGTAATTATTTTTTATTTGTTGCAATTTTTTTTATTTTTACATTTTTTTCACAATGCTTCTGGGGGGTAGGGGCTTTGGTGAAATTTCCAAATAGGCCCCTGAAGTCTCACTTATGAGACAGAGAAAGGGACTGAGGAAACACTTTCTTTCTGGTGCCTCAGCTGCATAGAATCTTTGCACAGCCTTCTTGGTCAATTATAAACTGAAGCATAGTACACAGTGTTTACTATGCTTCAGTTATGAACACAGGTACCGATCACTTGATGTACTCCTTTTCCTACTCCCCATCCTGAAAAGATCCCACGCAGCAGATGGCAGGATGGGGGGGGGGTTCAGAGTTGCATGAGGGCCCAGCAGCAGGCACAGACACAGAATGGGTACAGAGAGGGTGATAAGGGTGATCGGTGCGGTGGGAGGCAATTAGAGGAATTGATCCCTTCTAACAAGCTTAGTGTCATAAACTGGGATGGTACTGAGGGTATTGGGTTGAGGAAAGCTGGACAATACACAAAGTTACATCGTCCACCATCTGGTCCGCATGGTGCTTGTGTCCTTTCTTTCATCCCTACTTTTGGGGGGCAGCGCTGCCCCCCTGAAAAATGCTGCTGCCCCCCTTAAAAAATGCCGCCCTAGGCAAATGCCTTGTTTGCCTTGTGGTAAATACACCCGTTTGTGGGGAACCTTGGGTAGTAAAAAAAGGGGGTAATTCCTTTTCAGTATAAACAGTGTTCCACTCACCGCCCGTACAGTAAATAAGGATTGGTACATAATATCTCCTGTTATTAGATTCAAGCCCAGAGTCCCGGAGGCAGCCACCAGCATCGGGACTGTAGACAAACAGGCTCCACTTCCATCCAGGTACACGTGCAGATTGATGAACGCCCAGCAAAAGCGTGTGTTTCTGTGTCCCCTGCAGGACTAGGTGTATGGTGCCAATGCGCCGGCCGGTAGTGACGTCACTGATGTGTGACGTCAACACGTTTTGCCAATGGGTGTATCTTACTCAGCTTTGTCAGGACCAATGTGCCTGTGCTGTATATACATAAGACTTTGTGTCATTGTCTGTACAGCACAATCATATATATTGCCAGTCATGACGTCCTTCTTTTATAATAATTTTTTGTTTTAGGTTATTCTTTTGGTATTGTCTCATCTTGTGGTGATGGCTAACTGTGGTATTTACCTAAATGTCTAAATATGTGCAAAATTTGCAAATAAAGCATAATTTTTTGATACATTTTTGGGTATCGCTTTCTGTCCATAATGTAACCGCTTTTTCTTGTGAATTGCTTTTCACACACCCCCCCCCCCCTTTTATTGCTGTTTTTGGTTATTTGGCAGATAAAATACGATCTGCGATAGTGATAAAATATACAGGTGAAACTCAAAAATTAGAATATCGTGCAAAAGTTCATTTATTTCAATAATGCAACTTAACCACTTCCCGACCGGCCGTTGTATATAAACGGCCGGACGGTGGCAGTGCAGGGTCGGGTGGCCGTCTATAAACGACCTCCCCGCACCCTGCTTGTGCGTGCTCCCTGGGAGCGAGCAGCACCGCCATCTGGTGCCCGCTGTGTCCTCCGGACACAGTGAAACACCGATCGTCGGACGGGACCTCTGTACGAGGTCCCGATCATGTGATCACTGATTGGCCAATCAGTGATCACATGCAAAGTAGTAAGCAAGATGTCACTTCTGACATCATTGCTTACTATGTGTGAAATCTGTGAATGATCACAGAGGTCACATGGTACAAGGCTATTCACAAAAGCCTTGTACCATGTGACAAGCTGTGACCAATCACAGCTCACTCAGTTCTTTCAATGAGTGCAAGGAATGCAGACAGAGAGAAAGAGAAATGATTGCTTTTACATCCTATATGGGTGTAAAAGCAATCCGTGTAAAAAAAAAAAAAAAATCTTCATCACCCCTCACAAGTAGTACAGAGTACTAGTAGTGACACTGTACTGCTAGGGTGACAGTATGTAAAAAAAAATAAATAAATAAAAAATAATTAATATAAAAAATAAAATAAAAATGTAAAAAAAAATGTTTAAAAATTATAATTTTTGCTTATAAACTAATTTGGATTTTTTTTTTTTTTACTAAAAAGATAATGGAATAAATTTTGGCTAAGATTTATGATGAAATATTATTTATTTGCAAAATTTTATAAAAAAAACACTTTTTTTCAAAATTTTTGGACATTTCATTTACATAGCAAAAAAAAAATACAAATCCCAGTGGTGAATAAATACCACCAAAATAAAGCTTTATCTATCTAAAAAAAATGGTAAAAAATTCATTTGGGTACAGTGTTGCATGACCGCGCAATTGTCATTCAAAGTGTGATAGCGCTAAAAGCTGAAAATTGCCCTGGTCAGGAAGGGGGTAAAAGTGTCCGGTGTCTGGAAGTGGTTAAAAGGTGAAATTAATATATGATTTGAATATTACAAACAATCAATAAAACAAGGGTTTTAC